CTTAGAGACTAACAAATTTATTTGAGCATAAGCATCTGACGAAGTGAGATGTAGCTCATGAAAGCTTATGCTCAAATAAATTTGTTAGTCTCTAAGGTGCCACAAGTCCTCCTTTTCTTTTTCTCTGGGAATGGTTTTCCAACCAGTCATGCATCCACCTTATAGTAGCTTCATCCTAGTTAGTTTATGAGAAGGTCATGTGAGACAGTATCAAAAGCCTCACTAAAGTCAAAACAAACCACATCTGTGGCTTCTTCCCTATCCACCAGGCTTGCTATCCTGTCAAAGAAAGCTATTAGGTTGGTTTGACATGATATGTTCTTGACAAATCCATGTTGACTGTTGCTTATCACCTTATCTTCTAGGTGTTTGCAAAATGATTGCCTGACTATTTGCTCCATTATCTTTCTGGGTGCTGAAGTTCAACTGACTGGTTTGTAATTCCTTTAGATTAGGCCCTAATGTTAATGTCCTTAACATCTCTACTGGAATTCCCATTTAATTTAAAGAAGAAAATAATCTATAGTAATTTTGAAGCTGCCCCCAAATCTGTTAACTGCCCTACCTGTAAACCAAGGCCTGAGCCTGCAAACTTTTTCTCTTTGATTTAGATCCCAGTCTTATAAACACATCATTTGCATCCCTGCTGAGCTCGGTTGATTTCAATGTGATTTGCGTGGGTGTGTAGGTCCACTCTGACCTGACTGCTTTCCCTGTGGATGAAGGGAAAGCAGTGGATGTATTGTATCTTGACTTTAGCAAAGCTTTTGACACGGTCTCCCACAGTATTCTTGTCAGCAAGTTAAAGAAGTACGGGCTGGATGAATGCACTATAAGGTGGGTAGAAAGTTGGCTAGATTGTCGATGGCTCCATGTCTAGTTGGCAGCCGGTGTCAAATGGAGTGCCCCAGGGATCGGTCCTGGAGCCGGTTTTGTTCAATATCTTCATAAATGATCTGGAGGATGGTGTGGATTGCACTCTCAGCAAATTTGCAGCTGATACTAAACTGGGAGGAGTGGTAGATACGCTGGAGGGCAGGGATAGGATACAGAGGGACCTAGACAAATTGGAGGATTGGGCCAAAAGAAATCTGATGAGGTTCAATAAGGATAAGTGCAGGGTCCTGCACTTAGGACGGAAGAACCCAATGCACAGCTACAGACTAGGGACCGAATGGCTAGGCAGCAGTTCTGCGGAAAAGGACCTAGGGGTGACAGTGGACGAGAAGCTGGATATGAGTCAGCAGTGTGCCCTTGTTGCCAAGAAGGCCAATGGCATTTTGGGATGTATAAGTAGGGGCATAGCGAGCAGATCGAGGGACGTGATCGTCCCCCTCTATTTGACATTGGTGAGGCCTCATCTGGAGTACTGTGTCCAGTTTTGGGCCCCACACTACAAGAAGGATGTGGATAAAGTGGAAAGAGTCCAGCGAAGGGCAACAAAAATGATTAGGAGTCTGGAACACATGACTTATGAGGAGAGGCTGAGGGAACTGGGATTGTTTAGCCTGCAGAAGAGAAGAATGAGGGGGGATTTGATAGCTGCTTTCAACTACCTGAGAGGTGGTTCCAGAGAGGATGGTTCTAGACTATTCTCAGTGGTGGAAGAGGACAGGACAAGGAATAATGGTCTCAAGTTGCAGTGGGGGAGGTTTAGATTGGATATTAGGAAAAACTTTTTCACTAAGAGGGTGGTGAAACACTGGAATGCGTTGCCTAGGGAGGTGGTGGAATCTCCTTCCTTAGAGGTTTTTAAGGTCAGGCTTGACAAAGCCCTGGCTGGGATGATTTAATTGGGGATTGGTCCTGCTTTTGAGCAGGGGGTTGGACTAGATGACCTCCTGAGGTCCCTTCCAACCCTGACATTCTATGATTCTGGCCCTATGCACCTACTGCTGTGAGAAGTGCCATTGAAGTCAATGGCTAACCTGTCCTAGCTGTACTCTGTGCAAGACCTGAGGGGGGCAGTACAAAGTTCTAGTCCTAAAAGTGTCCCACAGAACAGAAAATGACAAGGTGCACAACAGTGGATTCTGCAAAACAATACTTAACAGCATCCCCATCTCATCTCATAACTTTCTTAGAATTAGTAAAGCAATGATACTCAAAAATAAATTGAACAAAATGTTCTCTTTGCACTTTAAAAGAGGATATTTAAATATAAGCAAGGGGGATTAGAATATTTCCTTAATTTCATCTCCTTTTCCACATGGACAAATACTAAATTGGTCCAAAAATGCCAGCCACAGCAGGCTAAACCAGTAGGAAGAGGTTTGAAACCAGGTCATAGAATATCAGGGTTGGAATGGACCTCAGGAGGTCATCTAGTCCAACCCCCTGCTCAAAGCAGGACCAATCCCCAACTAAATCATCCCAGCCAGGGCTTTGTCAAGCCTGACCTTAAAAATATCTAAGGAAGGAGATTCCACCACCTCCCTAGGTAACGCATTCCAGTGTTTCACCACCCTCCTTGTGAAAAAGTTTTTCCTAATATCCAACCTAAACCTCCCCCACTGCAACTTGAGACCATTACTCCTTGTCCTGTCCTCTTCCACCACTGAGAATAGTCTAGAACCATCCTCTCTGGAACCACCTCTCAGGTAGTTGAAAGCAGCTATCAAATCCCCCCTCATTCTTCTCTTCTGCAGACTAAACAATCCCAGTTCCCTCAGCCTCTCCTCATAAGTCATGTGTTCCAGACTCCTAATCATTTTTGTTGCCCTTCGCTGGACTCTTTCCACTTTATCCACATCCTTCTTGTAGTGTGGGGCCCAAAACTGGACACAGTACTCCAGATGAGGCCTCACCAATGTCAAATAGAGGGGGACGATCATGTCCCTCGATCTGCTCGCTATGCCCCTACTTATACATCCCAAAATGCCATTGGCCTTCTTGGCAACAAGGGCATACTACTGACTCATATCCAGCTTCTCGTCCACTGTAACCCCTAGGTCCTTTTCCGCAGAACTGCTGCCTAGCCATTTGGTCCCTAGTCTGTAGCGGTGCATGGGATTCTTCTGTCCTAAGTGCAGGACTCTGCACTTATCCTTGTTGAACCTCATCAGATTTCTTTTGGCCCAACCCTCCAATATGTCTAGGTCCCCCTGTATCCTATCCCTACCCTCCAGCGTATCTACCTCTCCTCCCAGTTTAGTGTCATCTGCAAACTTGCTGAGGGTGCAGTCCACGCCATCCTCCAGATCATTTATGAAGAAATTGAACAAAACTGGCCCGAGGACCGACCCTTGGGTCACTCCACTTGATACTGGCTGCCAACTAGACATGGAGCCATTGATCACTACCTGTTGAGCCCGACAATCTAGCCAGCTTTCTATCCACCTTATAGTCTATTCATCCAGCCCATACTACTTTAACTTGCTGGCAAGAATACTGTGGGAGACCGTGTCAAAAGCTTTGCTAAAGTCAAGGAACAACACGTCCACCGCTTTCCCCTCATCCACAGAGCCAGTTATCTCATCATAGAAGGCAATTAGATTAGTCAGGTATGACTTGCTGTTGGTGAATCCATGCTGACTGTTCCTGATCACTTTCCTCTCCTCTAAGTGCTTCAGAATTGATTCCTTGAGGACCTGCTCCATGATTTTTCCAGGGACTGAGGTGAGGCTGACTGGCCTGTAGTTCCCAGGATCATCCTCCTTCCCTTTTTTAAAGATGGGCACTACATTAGCCTTATTCCAGTCGTCCAGGGCTTCCCCAGATCACCGTGAGTTTTCAAAGATAATGGCCAATGGCTCTGCAATCACATCCGCCAACTCCTTTAGCACTCTTGGATGCAGCGCATCTCTGTCTTCAGAGATGATCTTGTTCCAGAGTGAGCACTTCAAACAAGTTCTCAAATATGCCATTATGTTGGTTTCAATAAAACAGTTATTGCATGTTAGTCATTTGGAATCTGTTTTTTTTTTTCATTAAATACATTTTAGATAATATAATAAAATGTGGATGACCTATTAGTTAATCCTTGCTAAATACAATTGCATCTTGATCCAGTATCTCTTCTTGAACTCATAAATTTTCTGGTCACTTTTGAGTATTCAGACTCCTTACTCTGTATTTTGGTCTCTTACAGTAGAGATCTAACTGCTCTAGTTAAACCCTGCAATGTGAATGACTACAACATAAGAGCTCCTGGCCTACAATACTCAGGCAAACATTACAAATATATGATCAAAACCTTTTTAAGTACATATTTTGGACAAGTGGCAGTAACAGGAAAGGAAATGTGCAAGCTGTAGGAATTTGCTAAACTATGATCATATTTAAAACATAACTTACCGTATTATATGGGATCAGCTCCTTAAAGGTGTGACAGCATTTATGCTAGAAAGCAGGTAGGCACTGATTCTACTTACTACCCTTGTGCCAATCAGAAGTGTCCTTGAAACTTATACATAGAATCATAGAATATAAGGGCTGGAAGGGACCCCAGAAGGTCATCTAGTCCAACCCCCTGCTCGAAGCAGGACCAAATCCCAGTTAAATCATCCCAGCCAGGGCTTTGTCAAGCCTGACCTTAAAAACCTCTAAGGAAGGAGATTCTACCACCTCCCTAGGTAACGCATTCCAGTGTTTCACCACATGATACCACATAAAGTTGGTCTAAGAGCCTGATCTAAAGTCCACTGAATTGAATGGACAGAATCAATGGCCTTTAGATCAGGCCCTCAGGGAGAAGTGTGTCAAGGTCTACAGTGGCACAAAGTTGTCATTTTCATTTTACTTGCAAAAATAGAAGCTTTAATGGATTCCTTCCCATCCCTGCACAAGAATTGGCTAAGAGCAAAGTTCCTCCATCGCTTCAAATGAGTAGTGTTTTCATAGTGAATTTCAATCAGAGTGCATATTTTTCATATATTTGCCCCTTGTTAAAATAGACTTTTTTGCAGAGAAACATCACCATTTTTGCTGTGAATCAGCATTTATTTGTTTTTTGTCTATTAATTTTTTTTTTTTTTTTTTTTTTTTTGGGTGTGGAAAAGAAGCAAACCATTTGGGACCTGACTCTGCATGAGGGGCCTCCTTCCTGCTCAGTCTCAGTTATGTGATTGGCTCCATTGACTCCTGGGGGTAAGCACTGCTAAGCATAAGGGCTGCAGGGTTGAATCCTTGAACAGAAGCTGTAAAACACTTTGCTGTTTGTGAAGCCATTCAAAATAAAAGTCCTTGTGGTGTTGCTGACTGGGCCCCATTTTTCTCGCAGCGCTAGAAACCTGTTATTATTGGTGACATGATTATAATGACTCAACTTGAACAAAGCGCTTGAGGCTGGAATTTGGCATGCAATCCCTCTGACGCTAAGGGCCCAATCCAAAGCCCACTGAAGTCCAATGGGATTCTTTTCATTCCCTTCAATAGACTTTTAATTGGGCTCTTAACCTATCCTGAAGGATGACCCAACACTCTCACAAATCTTGGGAGACAGGCCAGTCCTTGCCTACAGACAGCCCCCCAACCTGAAGCAAATACTCACGAACAACCACATACCACACAACAGAACCACTAGCCCAGGAACCTATCCTTGCAACAAAGCCTGTTGCCAACTGTGCCCACATATCTATTCAGGGGACACCATCACAGGGCCTAATAACGTCAGCCACACTATCAGAGGCTCGTTCACCTGCACATCCACCAATGTGATATATGCCATCATGTGCCAGCAATGCCCCTCTGCCATGTACATTGGTCAAACTGGACAGTCTCTACGCAAAAAAATAAATGGACACAAATCAGATGTCAAGAATTATAACATTCATAAACCAGTTGGAGAACACTTCAGTCTCTCTGGTCACGCAGTTACAGACATGAAGGTCGCTATCTTAAAACAAAAAAACTTCAAATCCAGACTCCAGCGAGAAACTGCTGAATTGGAATTCATTTGCAAATTGGATACTATTAATTTAGGCTTAAATAGAGACTGGGAGTGGCTAAGTCATTATGCAAGGTAGCCTCTTTCCCCTTGTTTTTTCCTGCCCCCCCCCCCCAGATGTTCTGGTTAAACTTGGATTTATGCTGGAAATGGCCCACCTTGATTATCATACACATTTAAGGAGAGTGGTCAGTTTGGATGAGCTATTACCAGCAGGAGAGTGAGTTTTTTTTGGGGGGGAGGAGGGGGGAGAAAACCTGGATTTGTGCTGGAAATGGCCCACCTTGATTTTCATACACATTGTAAGGAGAGTGATCACTTTAGATAAGCTATTACCAGCAGGAGAGTGGGGTGGGAGGAGGTATTGTTTCATGGTCTCTGTGTATATAATGTCTTCTGCAGTTTCCACAGTATGCATCCGATGAAGTGAGCTGTAGCTCACGAAAGCTTATGCTCAAATAAATTGGTTAGTCTCTAAGGTGCCACAAGTACTCCTTTTCTTTTTGCGAATACAGACTAACACGGCTGTTACTCTGAAAAAAGACGTTTGATCATCTATCGAAGGTCGGGAGGGAGAGCATCACAACAGTAAATGCTTATCAGCTGGGTAACAATTTGGTACAATCCTTTCCTGCCTTACAAATGATATTCATCTAAATCATATTTATCTGATCCATAAATTGAGACTACATGATCTCCTGTTGGGGATAAAGTGCACTTGAGTCCAGGTGGAGTTTCCACAATATTCATTCTGCAAGAAGGAGAGTTTTGGGAGACCGGACCTATGGCTGCTTGTCTGTATATTCCATTGCAGTTGCTGGGGAAGTTGGCTTCTGTCTAGTGCTCGCTTCATGGTCATGTTTTCGCCTTCTGGAGGTAAGTGTCCTGCCATTTACTCTTTCCAGGAACTTAATCAAGTTACCAGTTCAAATCTCGCACATATCCATAGAAAGTACCATCTAACCGTCTGTTTACTGATATATGTGAAATAAAATGCTGAGTTCAAGTCAAGGATGGAATAACAGATAGAGGTAATGGATAGATAAACTACTGGAATATGGAGATCTATGTCACTGGTTCCAATGTGGTTCAAGTCACCGGTCACTGTGAACATCATTATTAACTCACAGCTATGCAGTGGAATGTTTGTCATGTCATTCCTCTTCTATTGGACAGGTACCCACACCACAAAATTACTATCACACTTGGCTTCAAGTGACACCTGTGTTAGCAGTCTCATCAGAGAGACCAAGTATTGAATAATCATAATCCTAAACCATCCCCTGGGCTCTGATAATAAGGGCTGACTTGTGTTGGTGGGACTGGAGAAGCAACCCTGCTACTCATGCCATATCTATCACAGAGGACTTCATTCTCCAGGGCCATCAGTCCAGTATCTTTCATAAGTGCTACTACATTCCCAGAGAAAATAAATCCATAATATTGTTTAATTGGTGGATTTGCTGAATAATTAATAAATGTCATCAATAATGAAATATAAACACTGGTTTCTACAAAGGTAGATATTGCCTAATGATTTTTATGTGCCTATATTAGCAACCGGCCTGAGCCAACCTCTCCCAGATCCAGCACTATCGCTGGAGAAATCTACATCCAGATTTTGTAACTCAGGATTGTTTGTCTTAAGTGCACACCTGCTTCCTGAGCCATAACAGCTCTTTCACCCTCATAACACTTACAATGAAATTCACTCCGAATAATTGGTAGCCAGGGTCCATTAGTTTCAAACCACACTTATAATCTGTGGAGTACACAGTGCATATTTAAAAACAGCTTAAATAAAAGTACATACAAAGGATGTGATGGGTGACTAGATTTACACTGCTAGGCATGCTGGCTCTGAAAGAGCACTAGTAGTTAACTATGTTAATTTTTATAAGACCGGGCCAGCTTTACAAAGGGACATGTGTGTCATAGCACCATGAAGACAGTCAACAGAAGAGCTGTGTAAAGGGAGGTTGCTGAAATAGGCATTTTAGAAATAGATTCATATTGTTTATATTTAGTAGGAATTTTGAATATTCAGGATTGTATCTGTTTTTGTTAAAGATATAAATAGGGTAACCATATTTCTCTAAATTGAAAACAGGACACTGGTTAAGCGGCAATCTCAGGTGGTTCAGGCATCACTGCTTGCCCTAGCCCTTCTGCGAGGGGCTGACAGTCAGAGCCGCCTGGCGTTGCTGCTTGTCCGAGCTGACGTCCTGGATGTCACAACTTTTTTGGCAAAACTGGGCATTTGTCCCATTTGCTCTTGCCTGAACATTCCTCTGTGCCCCTCGAGGGCTAGAGTAAATGGGACAAATGCCCAGTTTTGCCAAAAACGCTGTGACATCCGGGACAGAGGTGAAGAAGGGGACTTTCCCAGAAAAAATGCGATAATAAAAAATGGGAGCGGCCCCTTTAAGAATAGGGTGGGGGGCCCACTGAGTGAGCCATTGCAGGGGCCAGAGGTGTTTAAAATGGGGCGGCTGCTGCTGCAGGAAGAGGTTGGCCTGTAGCTGTGCACCAAGGAGGTCTCTGTCCGCAAGAAGCTCCTAAAGCCAGAGCTTTGAATCCCAGTATAACCAATGGTCTCTTTGAAAAGCTGAGGCTCATGATGAAGGGTGGAAGAGATTAGGAGGTTCACTGGATCTGTTTGTTCAGGGCCCTTTTGTAGGAGTGCAGTTGAGCAGTCTACAAAATAGTAGAGAGTGAAAATTTGCTGTGTGGGACTGAAAGCTGTCTGTCTCTCCTAGCAGAGCAGGATCTCCTGAGCAGGACAGAACAGATGCAAATTGCAGAGCACAATCAAGCAAATGTAAGGCACACAAGCAGCAGAGGGTTGATCAAGTATATTCTGCCACATTTAGAGCGTGTATCTGTTCAATGGAGGATGAGGACATGTGCTTGTTACTCCATCTGAATGATCAAATGATCCAGGATCTGATTCAGAAAAGGAAGGTCAAACCAGAGTCAGAAAAGGTTAAACAGGAAAACCTCACTCCGGAGTGGAGACAAGCTTTGCTACTTTGTAAGAACATGGAACAGATAGTGCTGCAGCAACAAAAAAGAGGGCAATTTAGAGCTAAGCTGCTGAAAATGGAATCAGAGCAATGACTGAAAGTAATAATGGAACACTGCTTCAGCTCCATCCACACCTGCTATCAGTAGTTAGGAAAGATGTCACAATTAGAGAGCAGATTGGTGATGTCACACAAAAGAACAAGTAAATGTAGTAGTCTGGAACACAAAACTGAAAATGGGTTAAAGAAGGGTTAGTCGGACAAAGACGTTATAGACCGTGTGATTGGTGCAGGCAGCCCAGGATTAAAACTCTGAAGTTACCTGGAGGGCAAGAGTGATCTCACATTGCCCAAACTAACGCAGATCCCACAAACACATTATTTTGAAGCAAATGCCATTGATTGCTATCAAAAATTAACTAAGGCAGATTTCCTTGTGTGTGCAGTAGATCGCCATCAAAAAATTATCTTTGTGGCAGAGAAGACAGTCTACATTAAAATATCAGCCTGAATTGGTCCAAGTCAGTTTCTATAGTCTATCTGGACTGGGTTGCACAATGAGAATATTAAAACTGACCTAAAACCTGTACTTAGAGGATTTAAATGTAGCTGATGAAATTGTATTGGGAAAAATTGAATACTGCCTGTAGCATTGAAATGGAGCACAAGCAAAAATTAAGAGCCTCAGGGCATCCAAGACCATTACAAATAAGTGCTATGCAATCTGTTTTGAAAGGAGAAATGAAAGATCTCATCACTGTCAGCCATAAACTGTTAGTTATTCAGGTGGAACAGAAAAATGAAGCAATCTGGTAACTAGCAATTGAAATGGCTGCTTTCACAAAAACCATGAGTTCAGGGAAGACCTGTAGTAGTTCCCCAAATTATACAATCCAGAAAGGACAAATGCTGCAGAAATTCTGCCAAAACTGCCAATGGGAAGAATCAACTGAAAGACTTGATTTTTGTGGCAAGTGTGGTAGCAATTCACACTGGGCAAGAGGGTGCCAGGTCAATATCAGTAACTGGGAAACAAGAGAGGGTCGCAGCCAGTGGGAAAGGAGTGATCAACCCGCATTAGTCTTCCACATTATCCAGGGCTGCCTCACAACACTGGTTATATAGCACAGGTTCTGATGGCAGGTTGCTTAAACCAGTGGTTCTCAACTTGTCCAGACTACTGTATCCCTTTCAGGAGTCTGATTTGTCTTGTGTACCCCAAGGTTCACTTCACTTAAAAACGACTTGCAGATGGTATGGTGTTTACAAAAGCTTTTTTTCATTTTAAGCTAGCAAGTCTGGAATGCAAAGCATGCACACGTTGTTTTGT